CAAGTGAAAAAATCAACCGTGTACGACCAATCCCTCAAAGGTCAATTGGAGGGAACGTTTGGTTCGACTTGTGATGAAATTAGGTGAATAAAAATAAAATTAGTAAAGTATATGTGTAACTCAGGAATCATGCAAATCAATTAAATCAAGTGCAAACCTGGTGGAAAGTAGTTCTTCCTCTTTTTCTCGACGCCTAAATAATTCCTCAAGTGTGTTACGCTTTTTCCTCTGAGTCGTCTTTTGCATCTTTGTGGTATTTTTTGGAGTTTTTTGCATGTACGATAGATTTCTCCGGAGAAACCGTGGCTATAGGAAAACAATACTTTTTAAGTTAGTTCCCACATGAAAGCCTGTTCATCAAAACTATCTCGAATTTGTTGTGAAAAACTGTATTAAATAGGTAACAAAATTGACTTACAGGTCTCTTGGTACTTAACCAATGATATAGACATGTTGGTCCTGGTAGCAATTCGGTTAGAGGAAGCAACTCTCAAGGTTTACAAGTAAAAGAAGCTCACCTGTGAAAGTATCACGAAACAAACTCGAGACTCTATTTTGGTCTACAATATTCTTGATAGCCTTGTTCACCATTGCGAACCGAAACGTCTCAAATTTTTGCTCTCTGGAATACAATTTTTTTGAATGGAAAACAAAGAGGCCTCAATAAGGAGTAATGAACAGCTGGATCTGTATTTTATTTGAATGCTTGGGGGTAATTTCATTTTTTGTACAATTCTCTTGACACGTGACATTTTTGCCGAGATTAAAATTTGGACTTCCAAATTCGTGTAGTGCCGGCCTACAGATAAGGGTTTTAAAAAATATGCAAGAACTGTGGTGCTACCAAACAATAAACAAAATTGTTATCGGCAATATTTCCGATAGCATAAATTCTAGCGGAATTACACGACACAAAATTTGTGCTACCGGTTATTGTGCGACAAATTCATGATCACCGGTAGCACGAATCCGAACTCTCGGTCACATGATTTTTATGCGGTATAAAAAATGCACGAGACGGCTTGTCTGGTCTACGTTTGTCGAATGGAGGGCATCGTTCAGTATCAAAGCGACACAAGTGATAACGAATCTGTCGGAGAATTTACAGAATTTCCAAATGAAAATATTCCCAGGATACAAACTGAAGACGTTTCTGACGTGAATTTGGCTGAACGAAGGAAAGAGCATCAAATTCAGATCGATGGAACGAGGTTGAACACTATTGGCGTCAGCACGTCGTGCGGACCATCGGAGCGAGTATTTAGAACGCCTATTTTTATGCTTGGTAATATTTCGCACTCAAATAAGCGAGGGAATAGTGATCAAGTTAATAAAAAGGTTAAAGGATACATATCGAAACGAGTAAAGTTACAGCAAGCCAACGAAACAAATTCTGAAATACAGCAAATGAATCAATCGTTTCCAGGTGAGAATTTGGTAAAACCTCACGTACGCTTAATTCATATTTAACCGTTCATTTTGTTTTTCTAGTGCAAGGTGTATTGCCATCCGATACAAAGTTACTTGACCTGCCGAACCGTATCAAGTCTGCTTTGAGCGAAAACAAAGATGAAACGCAGTCTAGCATAATTCCCAAGAAGCGCATAATTTTTCTTCAAAAGGAACACACCAAAGGGGTGAATACACTATTGTGGTGTGGTTCTTTTGGTAAGTACTATCACGTCGTTTCATCTTTAGGCAAAAATGATTTTGACTAAATTTGGTTATCAAGGACAGGTATTGGCTTCGGCATCAATGGATGGTACTATCAGAATTTGGGATGTTTTTAGGTCCAAAAAGTGTGTTCGAATCATCAATAATAATGGTAATTTTGAGCTATTATTACTTCCGAAATGAAAACTAAGATTAGTTGCGTTTTTTTTATTGTCCCAATTAACTTGGTAAGGTCATTGTTAATGTTGTAGGAGCCGTAAAAGATATAAGATGGGATAATTTTCGTAACAATATACTTTCCGGGGGATATGACAAGATTGTAAAGTTAACTGACATAGAGACCGGGATTACCGTACAGGTGATATTACGCTCATGTGCATAAATGAGATTTAAATGGTCACATCATGGTAACTCTTACAGAAATAACAGTCGTTCCCT